GTGGGCGCCGCTTTCCTCGGGAGGAGCAACGCTGTGTCAAGTTTTCTGAATCTCTTGTTAACGTGATAATTCAAGAAGTAAGAGACACATGATTTTGAAACTGATAATGTTAGGTGCATCTACTAAAGATCACAAACGAGTTCAATTCTCATAGACCTCAAGGTCAAGGTCAAGATCAAAGGTCAGGTTTTCTGAATGTCTCGTGAATGCAATAACTTGAGAATGACGTGACGTAGGATTTCAAAATTATGCCATACCTTCTACCAGCTGCATCTACCAGAAGGCTGAGGATTACCACTGGTGGCTGAGAGTAGTTTTAACCTGAGCCAAACTACCAGCATCCCAACCTCGGATATTTACTTAATACAAAGACATTAATATTGATTTATTACAAATATCTTAATCTAAGAGCATTAAAGTGTATTTGAAAAGTATTTACATTTTCCTTAGCACATAGCTAATTTACCCTCTCTGCATCCAGGTGAGTGGGTTGCCGATTGCAGAAGTCATGGATACATGGACCAAACAGATGGGTTATCCTGTGCTGGACCTGTCTGTCTCTGATACGGATGCCAGACTGAGCCAAAAGCGTTTCCTCTTGGACCCCAAAGCTGATACTAGCCAGCCTCCTTCAGATCTTGGGTATGAGAAAGAAAAAAATAACCATGACAGCGTCCTCGGGTCATTGACCCAGCATTTGTGTCTCAGTATTTGTCCTCGTTCTAGTTAGTATTTAGTTGCAGTTTGTTTAGTGGTGGTTTTAGTTGAATTTTCTCTGCATTTATAAATCTTATGTGTTTTGTGGCTCTTTGTGGATTTTATTCTTGAGTTTTAGTTTTTATTTTTAGTTTCTCGTGATCTGCAGGTTACTAAGGTAGTCATTAGCTTATGTGTGTTTGTACCTCAGGTTTCCTCTTGCCCTCAGTGCTGTGTGCTCTACTGTGCCATGTTCTTTTCCAGTCATCCGACTGACTTTGTTACCGGCTCCAGCTCTGTCATTATTTGTATTTTGTGTTTCTGGGGCAGAAATTACACTGGACAGAAATGCAGAATTTGCAGCTTTAACAATCTTCTGATATTTTGATAAGCAGTCCACCAAATCAGTGGTCCTCAACCCCTGGCCCACGGACCGGTACCAGTCCGTGAGTCGTTTGGTACCAGGCCGCAAGAGTTGAGGCTCGGGTGTGATATCTAGGGTTTTCAGGATTTTTATCGTTAACTCAGTTTCCCTGGGTCTTTTCCCGTGTTGTAGTTGTGTGTCTTATTTTGAAAGAAATATTTACACGTTACCATAGCGACCAGAGAGCATAAAGTGGCAGAGAGGAGGATGTTACTCTCAGTGTTGTTGGAGCATTTGATCGTATCATTTTATTTTGCTGTATTTATCCGCCACACCTTAAAGGCCGGTCCATGAAAATATTGTCTGACATTAAACCGTCTGTGGTGCGAAAAAGGTTGGGGACTGCTGCACTAAATATCACAGTCCTCTTCCAAACTTTCTGACCTGGCTGGTAGTGAGGTTCCTTGGTTCAGCATTGACCAGCTAGCTGCTTATTCTGCTCCACGGTGCCCAGCAAGGTGGCCTGAGCAGATTTCCAGAGCTCGCGACACCAGCATAAGTGGTGCTGAACAGATGGGACACTCACCCTTAACAGAAGGTAACAAAGGCAACTGATACCCCAGTGACGACTCAAAAGATGAGAGGCCAGTGTCAGAGGATGTCAGGGATATGTGCGGGAACTATATCAAGGCCAGTTGGTGCTCCAGGTGGACAGGTTGGAATAGACATCACACCGGAGGGCCAGCTCACTCTTAGTTCGGTCCAGTTGTCAGGATCTGTGGGGCGCAGATTGTGTTTAGCAAAACAGGACCCAAATGCACATGTAGAGATGGGATCTTAACAAAGGGCAAATTGTTTATTAATGCTGATTAATAACTATTCAAAATACAAACAAAATGCAAAAGGGAATTAAGACTGACATTAGCAAAAAACAAGAGTAGGAAAACACTATAGGAACTAGAACAATGGAACCTGGGAAAGACACGAAGGGAGGTCAGCTGACGTTCCGGTGAGAGACAAAAAGGAACTCACACAAAGGTCGTGTCCAAATTCATGGGCTGCATCCTCCTGAGGACCCGGCCTTCGCGGTCTACGTGAGCCGGGTCCTCAGAAGGTCGGGTAGGCCGGAAGTAAACGGCTGGGGAAATTGGACGGTCCAGCCTTCTGATTAGCGTCACCGCTGTCTCGGTGGAGTTTAATAAACTCGGCCGTCTGCTCCTTGCTATCTAAAATATAACAGGACACTGGAGTAAACTCTCGACCGTCTCACACTTCTGTTTAATCAGTTTTCTGTTTGACGTTTATTCAGCTGTGTGAAAATCCCGGAGGAACCCACCCGGGGGATTAATAAAGTTTTATTTTATCTAATCTAATAACTTTAATCTCAGCCAAACCGATTTACTCACGAACAAACAAAACACTGAAAAAAGGTTTAGGTTGTCTAAGTGAATTATATATTACGTTTAACCCGAGCAGCGAAAGTCCGCGGTGATCTGAAAATGATGTGCCGGGAGTTGTGCCGTTCTCGGCGCATCAGTGACCCTCGAGCTCCCGGCTAGCTGTCGAGCTGGTGGGTAGCAGACGTCTCCGAAAACGTCGAAGCACTTTTGCAAATATGCGATATCTTGATAAACCGAGCAGATATTTGATGTTTACACAGCTACTTTCTCGCCTGAAAATATGTTAAAAGTTTATTTTGTGACCCAGAAAGATTAGTAAGAGTAATTTTAAAACTTAGTAGCGGCCGCCATTGTTGGAAACTGGAGTTTGGCTGGGCCGCGCTATGAATTCTGGGATATGGTGGGCCACGAAGGACACACCCGACCCATCCTTCAAATTCGGGGAAAAGGAGGACGCATTTGTCGGCTGCATTCGGAGGAGTCTACGAATTTGGACAGCCTTCGGCGCGTCGCTGTGACGTAATCGGTCTACAAATGCGGCCTCAGGAGGATGCAGCCCATGAATTTGGACACGACCAATAACTACACAGACAGGTGATGAGCAGACTGGGGACAGCAGGGGAACACAGCTGGAACGAATTAGATACAACGAGACAGGAGAAGCAAAACTAAACACAAAGCACATGAGACAAAGACTATCAAAATAAGACAGGAAACACAATAAACACAGAAAGAGACCCAGACTCAAAACACAAAGCTGACACTGGAAGTGAATACCACGACCCAGAGACAGACAGCATGAGAGACACAGAGAGCGAAGGGAACCAAACATGGGGACGCTGTACATAGAGACAAAACTCTGACAGACTGGACATAACAACAAGACTAAGTAAGAAAAATACTAAAACAAAGAGAAAGCTAAAGCTCAAGAGAAGCGTATTAAAGAAAGCTAAAATATCTAAAGTTGTCTAAATTACCCTAGAGATACATAAAATAAATACAAGTCATAATCACACAGTAACTAAACTATACCAATAGAGACTAGGAAACATAAAGTTTAAAACATTAAAGGGATAACAAAGTTTAAAAAAAAAGGGTTATAGACCCAGAACAGTGATCCCACTCTGCCTGGCTATTGGTCTAAGGATGGATACCAGAATGGAATTAGAGTCTTTGATCCAAAACAATTATCCACAGGAATTGTTTGAAGGGATTAGTATAACTGTGTTGTCTGCTGAGGGATGAAGGCAGGTGATGAAGTCCAGAGTCCGTTAGAAGAAGTCAGAGAAGTCCCGAAGAAAGGGAGGCGACTGCCTTGTTTTGGGCACAAACTTGACAGGTGGACAAATATTCCCTGACATCTTTTACCAAAGTTACCCTCAGAACAAATATTGAAGAAATGAGTTGATGTGGTTTATACCTGGGTGAAAAGTGAAAGACCCGTTGACCTGTACAATTCAAGAAAACCCCTTTTGATTTGTCGACATTAATGACAGCATGCTACAGCATAATCGCTCTAATAGGATATTATGGTCGACAGTATCGAACGCTGCACTGAGGTCTAGCAGGACAAGCACAGAGATGAGTCCACTGTCAGAGGCCATAAGAAGATCATTTGTAACCTTCACTAAAGCTGTTTCTGTGCTGTGCTGAGCTCTGAAACTTTTAAGATCAACCATTCTGCTGCAGACAATCTGTTTATTGTTTTACAACTGCTTCAAGAATGTTTGAGATAAAAGGAAGATTGGAGATCTTGGAGAGACAAAATTAGAGACTTTCTTGTGACATATTGGAGCATTTAGCAGTAAAGGAGAGTATTTGTTGTTCTTGATGAAAAAGACTAAATAAGGACATGTTAGTTAAGTCACAGAATAGATAAAAAGTAAAAAAAAATGTATGTGAATTGATCACTATAAATGTGTTTTTGTTCCAGGTACAAGTGGACAATTCCAGTCCAATGGCATTCTCTTCAAAGTGACAAAAACATGTCGCTTATGTTTGACAAAAACACCGCAGGTATTTCAGCTTAAAGTTTTTGTGGTCATCTACAAAACATTTATTATAATGAAAAGCAAATCCACAACCAGCAGGCAGGACAGTGATATAAATGTTTTGCACTAAAAGCAAAGTTGAGATGCTGCAATTGATAGTACATAGTTTAGTTTTTATCTGGTACCTTCTTACATAGAGAAACATCTATGTTAAGTGCAACCAGTTGGATGGTAATAACTGTCCATCCATCCATCCATCCATCCATCCATCCATCCATCCATCCATCCATCCATCCATCCATCCATCCATCCATCCATCCTCTACCACTTATCCAGGTTTGGGTTGCAGGGAGAGCAGTCAAAGCAGGGAAACCACCTCCTCTAGTTCATCCAAGAGGACATGAGTCATTACCAAGCTTGCCAACAAATAATCTCTCCAACGAGTCCTGCGTCTGCCCTGGGGCCTCCTGCCAGTAGAACAAGCCCAAAATACCTCATCTTGGACCTCCAAGATGAGGTATTTTGGGCTTGTCCTACAAGGATGCCTCCACCTGTCTACGAGGCATCCTTGTCAGATACCCGAACAACCTCAACTGGCGCCTTTTAATATGGAGAAGAAGAAACTGTACTCCCAATCCCTCTTAAATAGCTGAGCTGCTCATTATATTCCTAATGGAGAGCTCAGTATATATACCCAGAGTTCGTGACTCATGCATTAAGAGAATTAATTGGGCAATCCAGGATCAGTACTGAAAAATCAGGCAGGCCATTCCTCCCGGTCACAAGCCTCCAGGTGAGTGTTGAAGTGCCCCAGCACAACAGTGGAGTCCACAGGTGGAGCACTGTTCACCATTCTACCCAGTGATTCCAAGAATGCTGAGTACCCTGAACTGTTATTTGGTGCATAGTTACAGCAGTAGGGACCCATTCCCTGATCTGATGGCACAGGGAGGAAACCCTTTTATCCACTGGGTAAAACACTGAACCTGCAGTTATTGAACCAAGAGGATACAAGCAAATTCATCCCAGTCTGCCACCTCCCACTGAGGGCACATCTTGGGGGAAATAGATAGACACTGGTTCCAGAGCTTGAGCTGTGCTTTGAGGCGAGCCCAAATATATCTAGTTAGTATCGCTCAACCAGGGGATTTATCCCCACCAGAGAAGTGACAAGTAACAATTAACTTTAAACATCAAACTTTCAAACAGTACTGCTCATAATATTTCCTTCACTGTTCTTATAATGACTACTTTCAGAGCAAACCATCACCGGTTACTCACCATTAGCGGATGGGCTGCTAAAGGTTAACGATGATCATATTGGATTCTACAGAGTCAACCATGATGACCGCATGTGGACTGCTATTAGTCAACAGCTTCAAACCAACCATTTGGTATACCTTTCAGACCCCACTTGAACATAATAATATCTATTCTACACTCAACCAATCATATTGTAGATTTTATCTGGGTTGATAAACTCTTATTATGGAGGAGTTAGAAAATGAAGAGGCAGAGCCAAACCATACCACAGTATTCATAGGCCTCACTGTTACTCTTTCTGAATCTCTTGTCCCCCAGGAGTTTGATGCAGCTGATCGCACAAGCTATATTGATGATGTTTTTGCTCTTGCAAGGTTGGATATCATCAAAACACTCAAAGAAATCTGCATAAACAAATCATTGATGTCTAATCGGAAATACAGAATACTAATCTTTTTTCTTTTAACTGTTTAGAGCGGACATTATAGATTACGGTCACGCCTTCAACCTCACTAAGTACCTGACAAGTGAGTCGGAGTATATAGTCTGGGACCGTGTGGATGCCTCCATTGCCTATGTCCGGAACATGTTGTCTAGCAATGCTCTACTCTATCCAAAGTTTCAGGTAATCACAATGTTAACGCTTCTGTCTTTCTATGTATGATTCACAGATTTAAGCGCTCAGTTATTTAAAAGCAAATAATCATTGTAATCAGAAACACAAATCACAAACAAAACAAGGCCACAGTATATAAACCTGTCAGTTTATTATTGCTGTTATTAATAAATAATATTAATACGTCTCAACTCATTTCCAACTTTTAATCCCACTATCTGCATAGTTTTTATAGCTGCAATTTAGATGATATTCTTGTGCTTTGGGTAAGACATTGAGTTTCCATCTGCAATGAAATGTGCAAGTTTCACATGCTTCGTTGATATTATTACCATTATATACACCAAGTGAGATAGTTTTAATCTCTCTTCTACATTATAATATCAACCTGTAGCATTTAGAAAAATGTCCCCAGGAAATAATGCTCATAACAGTGAGATAGGTAGAAATACTTATTAACTTATATATGCCATATATACAAAGTGTGTGTCTCCTTGGGTGTTCTGTGTTGGACTTTACCTTCCACATCTTCTCCAGTTGTTGCTACAGCACTTGGAAGCTCTTGGCATTTGTCAGTGTTCAAATGCTTCTTTCTGATGCTGGTGTTGGCTGGGATTGCCACATCTGTCACAGCCTTAAAGCAGATACCTCCTAATTTGGGGAGGAAAATTTGTTTTGCGTTGAAAAGGTGGAGGTGGGAGAAGAATTTAGTTAACAAGCTCTGACGAGCTTCTCACTGGGCTTGGAAAGAATAAAAAGAAGTCGGAAGGAAGGAAAAGGTTTTGTTAATAGTGTAGATCATCCAATTAGGTATGTATTTAGTGGGTTACATGTGTCTAAGGATATAATTTCTGAC